GGGGGGGGCAGGGGTAAACCAGCTGGCTGCCTCGGCGGTGATGACGCGGGTGAATTGTCGTGGTGTTGGGAGGAGGGTTGTGGTAGAGGTGGAGGGCGAGTCGATCGAGTAGGCGTTGTTGGTTGTGCCGATAGAGCTATTGGTCTAGCGGGATTGGGGCTTGTTGGATTTGGAGGTGGTAGGTTGTACTGCTGAAGGTTTGATTGGTTGCGGGGGCATTGGGGATGAGGGGGTCCATGGTGAGGGTGTTGTTGTTGTTGTTGTTGTTGTTGTTGTTGTTGTTGTTGTTGTGTTGTCGTCAGGTCTCGTCGGGGCTTGCTAGGTTCCTTCTGTGCTAAAGCTGGTGTTTGTGGAGGCGGAGGTGCAGGTCGTCGTTGAGGACGCCGGGATGCGGAGGACCGCGATTCCATCTGGTCGAGTAGCGTGCCCTGCTGTATTTGCTGTGCACTTCTTACGACTCGTACATCTCGGTCGTGAGGTCGCCAATGACAATCCAGGAACTTTGATGTCCTTCGTCCAACTCAAGCCCTTCAGGCTGGCTCCTGTTTGGCCTGTCTTTGGCATCCAGCGGGTGAGCAGCGTAGTGAAGCTGTGCTGGAGCGCCCGTGGGTGAGGAACTGGAGGATGCTGCTGATCACACCGATGACGGCCAGCCGAGATCCTCGTCAACTGGAAGTCCGTTTCCGACTGTGAGAGATGCGATTTTGTAGTTCTTCCAACCGCCCTGGAAACACTGGTTCTTTCGACACCCGCAACGGTATTGCTCTCGGGTATTGGTGCTACGGAACTCGATATGATGATCGCAAGGTCCACAACCTAGAGGACTAGGATGCGCGTCAACGTCGCGCCGTCATCCTACAGTCCCTATTTAAGGCTCGTCCGTCCCCGGGCCTGCGAAGAGATGCTTCCATCGCCAGCTCTTCCCCCTCCTGGTGATGACAAAGAGGTTGGCTCGAGTGTGTCCGGTGACTAGCCTGAGATGGTTCTCCCCCACCGCTTGAGTTGTCCCCGCGATTGCTGCCTGGATCGGATCGAAGACTCCGGCTAGATTTGGATCCATCTCTTGTACTGATCGAGCCGAAATGGGTTGTGTTGCCTCGCCACTGCTGAGAAGGAGCCGCTGATCTTGGCTGTGTACGAATTGCAGATGACTGGAGCCATAGCGAGGCAAATCGTCCAGGCTGCATTGCGCCTCTGGCAGCGTCATGGTTGCGGGACCGGGCCGCAGACATGACAGCGGATGCGGTTCGAGCCGTGTAATCGCTGGTACTTCCCGGGGTGGACACATGCCAAGCTCATTGTACGGGATCCAGGAACGAAGGCTGTATACCGCATGTCGGGTCTGATATCGATGGTTGACTGTCATTGAGCACAGACACAGAACACAGCACTGAACCCCTCCGGGAACTATCTTCCAATCCGGTAATCGCCAAGCTCACAGTCATGAAGGGGAGACGCTGCGGCCGGTCCACCATCGCAATTGTCCAACATAAATCTGTAGAAGCTCGCTCACGCTTCGTTGGACTCCTCGTCGCAAAGATCGTATAGCTCACAGTAGCACTGCCGGGTATCTGGACAACTGTCAAGTCGTAGACACCGTTAGTATGCATTTGGACCAGCCAGGAACAATCACCTACGCCACGGGTCCTTCCAAGAAAACAATATGCCACAGCATCTCAAACACCGATCCAACCGAAAAATTATCCAACTCCGTGGAGATGGCCCAGTCGCGCATCCGCCGGTAATCTTCCCTCGGTCGGCCGCGAATGCGTTCCCGCGTGAGCGCAAACTGGCCACAGCAAACCCCGCCAATTTCGGGAGGGATCTGCTCCGGGGACACACGGAAGAGATCCATGTAGATGCTGGTGAAGTTGCGGTAGACGACGTTGTGATCGGAGGCCATGTCGGGGTCGAACGGCCGCACGGCCACCGGACACCCCGGGCGATGGTGGCAACGCAGATTAGCGTATCCCATCCGCTCCACTGTCTGCAGATTGAGTCGGCGGAGCAGGGACGGCGAGTCCAGGTCCCGGACATCGTTGTGCCACTGGCTATCACCGCCGTGCATGAACACCGTGACATCGGCCAGGCGGTCGTAATTGTCGATGATGTGCGTCAGATACGCCATGCTCTCGCGGCCCTTGTTCGCGGGGAGATTGGCAAAGCCCGGTTCTTGGTCGGAGGTGTAGATGTATGGCTTCCAGCTAGATGAACGGATTGTGAGTAGGTCTGATTGCTGCTGATTTATTCACTATCTCGCTATGGTCGCGGTGATTGCTTACTGCGGCATCACTCGATAAGCCCAAGAGGTATCCTCTCTGCGAGACTTTGCCACAACTAAGGCTAGGCTTCTGTCTGAATTCATCGTCGGGTGCCGGTCTGTTTACTGTTAGCAGAGCCCACTAGGCTGGAAGAGTTTCAACAATGGGACACGCACGCGAGATGGTGTAGGCCTCATCTCCCATGAGCACCAGAAACAGAAGAACGAGGAAAATGCAACAGATGACCAGTAAGGTCCATGCCCGATGAAGCAGAAGGCGCAGAGGACCGCATGGAGAGGCAGTCATTATCGTACTGCCACAACCATCCACCGGACGGTTCTGTGAGCAGAGAATGGCCCCAGAGGGATTGATTCCCCAGTGGGAATCAGGTGACGGAGATAAGCACCGGAGTCAGTCAAACGTGCATGGTTTGGCTCTGGTTTGTGTCTCGAAAACGAGCAAGGTCCCTTAGAGAGGTTTGTTCAGACTGGACTAGGGCAAGCACGCGTCTTTGAGCAGATGTGCAAGTCAACAGAGTCAAGGGGAAAGATAAACAAACAATTGGGATGGGGAGGAGACGGGGATTAATGCAGAGTTGAGTGGCAGTGTTCGAGCCTGCATTGTGGGGGGAGTCTAGAACATCGATCGGGTAAGGGTGGATGCGGACCACGGATGGGGGCGAGTGGGCACTGGGCAGGCAATTGAACAGACAGTCAGTCAGTCAGTCAGGCTGGAGAGTAGATCATATTCTAGCTTCCTAAATCACATATTTATGCATATATATGCATATTTATGCTTACTTAACATAAGCAAAACCACAATAACAAAGACAGTCCAAGGGTAGGTTGCAGTCTAGCTCGTATGTATCTCTGTCATTAATCAACGGGATAGAAGTCTAATTCTCTATCTAAACAAGATGTATCTGCAATTGGGGAATAGAACTACAAGAAAGACCACTCGGAACTCCTCAGATACTGGCGCGACGGGGCGCTAGCGTCCGTTGAAGTTTCTTCTTCTCTTCCGTCTCTTCCGGCAGCGGCAGAGATCCTTCGCTCTTCAGCTTCTCCAGGTATTCCTTGCCGTACGCGTACCCCACCTGATAGATCTCATCGAATTTCGCAAACTCCAGCGTGCCGTATTTGTCGATCGGCGGCCGCATGTAGAGGCATCCTGGCGTCGTCTTGGCGCGCTCAAGGTTCTCGATCGACGAAACATACGCCAATCGCGCTTGAATCTCGGACAGCGTAGGCGGGTTGGGTAACGAAGAGAAGGGATTCCAGCGATTGAGCACCGTCCAGAACCCAGACAGCGAATCCCCATAGCCTTGGGGAGTATTGTCATCAATGGAGCCCACATCAACAGCAAAGATCACGTCCGCACCCAAGCCCTTCATATGGCCTACAGTAAGATTGTCGATATATCCGCCGTCGAGCAGCATGCTACCCTCGTCGCAGATCGGGGGAATTAAACCAGCAAGCGACATGGACGCCCGGACGTACCGCCACGTGTAGCCGGACGAATGATACTCGGCACGCGATCGGCTGATGTTCGTGGTATTACAGTAGAACTCCAGCCAGAAGTCTTCAATCTGACTGTTGCCGAATGTCTTAAAGATTCCGCGGTTAAATTCGTGCCCAGTCGTGTAGGACACGGTCGGGTAGGTCAGATCCAGCGCAAACCTCCAGATGCTCCCCATACGTCCGGCGAACTTCTTGGCTCGGCCGTACATAGGCACGACATCCGCATCTCGAGCATACAGAGCTCCGATGAAAGAACCGATGGAAGTCCCACCGATGATATCGATCGGGATGCCGGCCTCTTCAAGCGCTTTGATGACTCCCACTTGGGCGATGCCTCGAGCCCCCCCACCGCCCAGCACAAGTCCGAACGAGCGACCACAGAGCCGGCGGGCCAGCCGATGAAAGTCGCCCTTGAACGGCGTCTGGGCCGAGTAGAGAGGTGTCTGGCGAATGCGTCGGGAGGTGTACTTCTGGATCTCAGCCTGGATAACCTGAACCCGTTGCTTCAGTACGGTCCCTAGGCGTTTGGATTGGGGATGCGTGGGCTCGGCTGTGAGACGATAAGGCATCTGGATGTGGTGATGGCCTCCATTAATCCACACCCGGTTTTTCAGCCACTGACGAGTCAGTCCGGGGTGGCAGTATCGTTCTTCATGGATGAGCACCAGCTCTTTCCTAGACGTTGTTTTCATGCCCAACAGGAATCTTTCATATTCACCAATGCTAGGTGAGGACTCTGCCAGGCCAACCAGCAGAATGCAATCAGCCTGGGTGATGCATGTTTGCGTCCACGGTGCATTCACCGTGGTGTCGGCAATGTAGAGCACCATGCCGTATTTTTCTTCGAGATCCGCTAGGTACTGGGTGAGCTTCAGCTTCCCCATCTTACTAAAAGCGTGCCGTCCCAAGTGATTCAGAATGGCAGCTTGGTTGAGAGATGTGACACCGTTTGTCACCCCAATTTGATGCAAGGCTTGCAATAGCCGGTGCCCAAACTCAACAACAGGAACCCCCCCTGTTACCGGCAGAACGCAGACGGTCCGCAGATTGAGAGTAGAGGTTGCGGTCTTTATAGTGCCGGAACTACCGCGTTCCACTCCCTGTTCATTGACCGGTTGCTCCACCAAATCTCGCATCCGCTGGGCAATGAGTTTAGATACTTGAATTGTAATTCCGGGATGTTCTTGTGCCAGACTGTTGAACAAAGTTCGAGGAAACTTGGCCAGCTCGGTGTCGCGGATGGCATGGAGAGAAGACGGGCGAGTCGATTCAGTCATCACCTCCAACTCACCAATACTGTCTCCCTGGCCGTATTCGCTGACGACCGTCACCTTCCCATCGGTACCTTCAAGGACCGACCGTAAACGTCCATTCAACACGAGGTAGATAGCGTCACTTTCGTCACCCTGGTGGTAGATCACCTGGCCAGCATTGACCTGTACCCATTCCAAGGCGAAGTCAATGTGAAGGAGTAGACGTGGAAGGATACTCGTCAATCGCTTAGCCAGCGTCAAGAGAGCGATTGGATACCGCTCCGCGATCCTTTCCAGGGCAGCCCGCGGGAGGAATCCAACGTATACATCTGTCTTCGCGATCACGTCCGTGTACGAACGGTACGATGCCACAGCACCAACGTAGCCTTGAATGCCTCCGGGCTTGATCATATACAGTGACTTCCGTGACTGTCTCTTTCGCTTGAACTCGCCAGTGCCAGTCCCCAGGCTTGCGGCTGAAATGCGGGAAGTGTTGGTTTGAGTTCGCCTTAGAGTTGGGAAAGTCTCGTCGCGAGCTTGCGAATGCCCTGGCCGTGAAGATCCAACGAGATCATCTTCTTTATCGCTCACAGGGATGCCCACGTCCAGGAATCCATCAATCACATAATAGAGGCCTGGATGGCGCTCGCCTTGCTCCACTAGCACGGATCCTTGAGGGAAGTAGACGATCTCGATGTCATTCCGCAGTTCTTCCCTTAGGTTGATGACTGGTGGCGTACCGCCAGCACTTGTGACGGACATCGACATCATTGATTCTGTATCATCTGTGGAGCCTTCGTAGGGATCAATGAATCCAAAAGCATTGTTGCTAAAAACTGCCTTTTGGCGTCGAGAATCATAAGAGAGCAGTCTTGGGGATGCGTCGCCCGAATTGTGAGTCTTGCGGAGAAGGTCGTTTGTACTCTCCGTCAGCCCGATGCCCTTCATGATGCACTCCAGTATGGATTCGCGGAAAAGGGCATCCTCATCCACATTTTCTTTCCGGTGAAAAGATCCCATGGATTCGATGATTGGAGCTGGGGATCTCAGAGGCGATTGCTCCTTTTCTGCAAGTGGGCTCAGCAATTTTGGAGCAAAGTTCTCATACCTGGACCCAAAACGCGAGAATTGTATGCTAGAGAGCAGATCCCCGGGACTTACACCTGCAGCTTCGCGCTCATTGAATGAATTGTTCTGGATCACAGCTGCCGTTGGACGTCGTGATGCGCCTAGCTTAGCATGGAGCACGACTTCTTTCCTTCGGAAGCTACTTGAGCGATTTCTCCTACCCGAGAAAGGGTTGTGTAAAGCAATACCTTTTGTAACTTCTTCCGGACCCAATCGATCTCTTTCTTTAATGAACTTGTCCTTGAGGCGATCCAACGCTGCCCCTCGCATTTCGTTTGGCAGGTCATGTGTAGTGAACTTGGTCATCTGCTTCTCGATCCCCAGAACCTCATTGTTCAGACCCAAGTAGGAGTGAGCCGTCATAAATGTCACTCTCTGTAAGCGTGTGAGAATAACTTGTACGATATGCGCGGTTGCCTTGGGATAGACCCTGGTCAGACGGCGAAAAGCACTAGCGGGTATAATTGCAATAGTTGTGTCGACCATGGCTCGTGCCACAATGTCCGGGTGAACCGACTTTTGACCATGCTTGCCTCGATGCGTCCTTGTACCGGGTTGGGTATCCTGGGTATTGGGCGTGAGCGGGGTGTAATTTTCTCCAAGATTCAAGGGAGGCACGGCGGGCAAGAAGTCCCCGCTGTCGTTGACATGGGAGGTAAAGCTTTTGCGGTCCCTAGGAAGAGTCCGCGGCGACGCATCGATGGCCTGGGGACTGGCCGGAAAAGATTCGGGCGCATGCGAAGCCGACGGTCCTAGGACGGATGAGCTCGGTTCGGCACTGTCGGCATATCTCAATTGAACATCCTCCGTAAACAAAGATAATATGGAGAATAGAGACGACATGGAGGCGCCATTCTTGACTTCGGTCAAAAGTTGGTAGCCTTGCCTCTCATCCACGTTCTGGTCATCCTCGTCCGACGACCCGCCGCTCATGCGATTCGCATCTCCCTCTTCACCTGACTTCCCGTCTCGAACTGACTTCACAAAGATCTGTACCAATCCGTCGACAACCAAGCAGAAGCCTTTCTCTTCCTCCAATAGAAGCGTCTCGCCCGCGATCAGCTTTCTCGTTTGCATTGTTCGCGTCAACTCGTGAAACACCGGTCTTTCGAGATAACCAAAGACCTTGATAGCGCTGAGAAACTCATCCAGGTAATTGGCCAGACCGGGTTTGGAATCCTCCTCCTGGATGCTGGGAAAGAGGTCGAGCTGAGGTTCCTTGCGCTGGGGTTCGGGGGGGAGTCGGCTGTACATGTTCAGGAAGCGGTATCGTATAAACCAGCTGATGGTCGATACGACGGCCAGCGCAATAAGCAGTCTGTTGTTGTTGTATTGGGCATTGTGTTAGTATGTTGTCAAGTTTCCGCTCAAGGATTGGACCCGTCTCGATCGAGGACTCACAGCGTTGTGAAGTTCATTGTGAAGGTCAAGCTCATGGAGAACAGTGTGAAAAGCCATGTTGGCACGGTAATGGTCGAGAAAGTGACAATCCAGTACAGCACACCTGGAATGACCTGGAAGAGGACGGAAAACACCCAACCAATCCAACCCACCATGGTTGTCGGAGTTGGAGGGGGTACTGGCGGGGGTGGAAGATGGGAAGAGAAGCCGGGCACCACGGAGATGCTGGCGGTTAAGGCCGGGGGGGTCGGAAATGCGAGGAGCGAAGCAGAAGTTGGCGAGGTGGAAGAGAAGACATGCTGGAGAGAAGAAGTGTCCAAACTTGTGGAATCCAGCAAGGTCATAGCGGACATTCCGCCGTCGGTCATGATGCCATCAGATTTCCCTGCTTTGGACGGCGGCCGGCCCGCTAAGGTACGGGGGGGAGGGGGGACAGTGGACTAGTCACGGATGGAGTCTCAGATAGGCGGCGAGGACCACCGGGCAGACTAGCACATGTCCGTTGGGTTTCCCCTCACTGAGTTTGCACGATTCGACCTGGAGACGCCGCAGGTAGGGATTCAGTACAGTGCAGGTCGCTCAGAAACTCTCAGTGCACATCACAACATGAAAGTCAAGCAAGTCAGCAACAGACAAGCTAACAACGTGGGCGGAGGAATGACTGTGGCTGGTTTATTGTGAGATGGAGAGAAGTGAAACTGGAAGGGGAATTGAAGGTAACCTTAACCGCATTGGTCTTAGTAGCAACGCCCCCGTCCATGTTTCTGATCATCCTCGGAGAATGGTCCAGACTGCTAAGTGCCTTAGTTGGACATTGCTAGAATTAACTAGTAGGTCTATAGTTAGGTTACACTTCATGGGCTAATTCTTAGACAATTATTTGTTCCCCTTCTCAACTGTGTTCAGCAAAGAACATGTGCACTGTGTTGTAGCTAGTAGCTATTGGCACTATATCCGAGGGGGTTTTTCATTCTACTTATAGTATCTTATAGTATGATAGTAAGTACTGCAGTGCGAAGAAAGACATGTTCGCAGCAGGATAAATATATCTAGGATCACGACCGGAAGTAGCTGCTAAATAACTTCGAGTTCTAACTTCTCCGTATATTAAGCTATACTGATGAAGAGCGGCCAATGCTCGGTAGACGCATCTTTCTTATCCTAAGAAGAATAAAATCAGCCACGCCCAGGTATCAGCCCAGGCTCACAGCATCACCATTGTCACCCCGAATTGGTTTGTATTCATCACCCTTTTATTTTTCTGCCCGTTCCCGTCGACGCCTTGGCCGCCCGCCCTACCAGTTGAGACCAACTGCCGCGAATAAGCCTCCACCGCCGCCCGCTGCGGAATCTCCCCCAGCCCGACCAACTGTCTGTCCTTACATGCTGCTCCCCTTCTTCCCTTTCTTTCGTTTATTCCTCCTCACTATCCTCCTCGGTCGCATCTTCCTCGTCTGTCTCTCGTTCGTCCATCTTGTCGTGGCCTTGGCTCACAGGCCCGCTCCGGCCATGTTTCAGGTAAACCCATACCGTGTCCCGCTCCCCGAAATCAGGCACCCCGACCGACCCTCCCCCTCGTGCACCTGCACCTCTGGCCCGTGCTAATCCAAGCCACACAAACAAACAGCGTTTGCGCGACGCAATCGACTCGCGGATTGCCGAGGAACAATCCCGGCAACGCTCCGCCCAAACCTCCATCTCTCGCTCCAACTCCGCCCGCCAGCCCTCGAATCGCACCTCTTCCCCATCCTCCCGGCGTCCTGGCGGCCGGCCGCGCCGCAACACCGGCACCCCGGTCCGCGGACCCGATCCCAATGAATTTGAGCCCGAGTTCGCCATCGGTGATGATGATTCCTCCAGTAGGTCGGGTACGCCGCGGCCTGACGCAGCGGGAGGAGGAGGAGGTGGAGGAGGCTCCGAAGGCTCTCCCGAGGGGGCCAATAATGCAGCTGCTGGGGAGGGTCAAGCGCCAGAGGGAGCTGTGACAGAAAAGGAGGGTGCACCAGCCGCTGCGGAGGGCAGTAGCAACCAGTCGCCTTCGGACCTACCCCCGGAGGTCAGGGTGAAGCTGCGACGGTTGGCCAAGTTGGAACCGCGTTATCAAGGTACGGAGCGCAACAGATAGAGCGCCGGTCGTGTATACTGATCTGTTGGTTGTGCGATTCTCTAGAACTACTGAAGGCCTACCGCATGGCACATTCGCGAGTCCTTTCCATCGAGCCTTTCGAAGCCGCTCTCCGCGAGAATACCCCCTTGACTTCCATCGGCGAACCCAAAGCGCTGACCGAATACTTGAACCAACTGTCGTTGAAGGGGGATATGGTGGTGGAGGAGCTGAAGCGGGTGACTACCGAGAGGGACGACTACAAGAAGAAGTTGGAAGAGGCTCAGAAGGCGACCAAAGCTGCATTGGAGGAAGTTGCCCAACTCAAAAGTGAGAAGGAGTCGATGGAGAAAGCTTCGAAAACTGAAGGGTCGGATGCTAAGATTGAGGGAGGGGCTACGAAGGACGATGCTACGACCACCGCCAAACCGACGGAGAAGTCAGCCGAATCCCAGGGCGAAAGCGAGGAGTTCTTCTCCTATGATAGCGAGATCCCTCGTCTGGAGTCAGAGTTGAAAGAAAAGCAGGAGGAAATCGAATCACTGAAGGCCCAAACCGAGTCGCTGAAGCGCGATCTTGCAGTGGCTCGCGAGTCAACTGAGGGCATGGTACACAACCTCGAATCAGCAACCAGGGAGCTCACGGAATTGCGAGACTTCAAGGGCAAGCAGGACACAGAGCTTGAGAAGCTCAAGTATTCCAAGCAGGGAGAGCTCGACGATCTGAAGGCCAAGCTCGAGAAGTCGGAGGAAATGGCATCGAAGACCAGTGCGGAGATCGAGAAATTGAAGGCCGACTTGAAAGAAAGGACCGAGGAAATCGACAAACTCCAGTCTCAGGCCTCGCCGTCGCCCGCTGCCGGTCAAAATGCTGATCTCACTGCGAAGTTGGAGAAAATGGAACAGATGAAGGAAGCCAACGAGAAACGCCTTGGTGTCCTCCAGGGATTGGTTGACAGTCTCCGATCTCAGCTGAAGGAAAGCGAGGAGGCAATGTCGAACCTGAAAGCCGACGTTGAGCAGAAGAAGGAAGATAACCTGCAACTACAAAATGTCGTTGACTTCCTCGACACCAACTTGGAGGGCAACGCCACATGGCAGCAGACTAAGGAACAAGTCATCGGCGGCAAGCAAGCTAATTTTGATGACCTTCGTGAGAGCTTGGCTGTCAGCCCTAGCACCACCGAAACCCAGCAGGAGCCGACAGAGACTGCAAAGCCAACTGCGAACCCACCAAGCGCCGCGGGAGGTGGAAAGAAGAAGAATAAGAAAAAGAAGAAGGGCGGTGCCGGCGGCGCTAAAGGCGGCGAGGAAGTCGGCAAAGCCACGGAGACTGCTGCGTCTGAGCGGGATCCGTCGCCGAGCGCGGAACCTGCTTCTGCCCAATTGACCGCGAAGGTGACTGAGCTGGAGGAGAACATCGAAACACTGAAGAAGCAGCTGGACGAGAAGGATGCGGCTATTGACCGTCTTAGCTCGAAACTCAAGGGAGAGGAGGATCTGAAGGAGGAAATCGAATCCCTCCGTGACGATCTACTTCACATTGGTCAGGATCATGTGGAGGCCAAGGACAAGGTGAAGGTGCTTACCACAGAGAAGCAAGCTCTGGAGGAGACCATCTCTAAGCTAGAAAAGGAGTTGACGAACTTGCGCACGAATGTCGCATCTCAGGCGTCCCAGAGCGCTGATTCGGAGAAAGCACACAACGACCTCAAGGAAGAGTATGAGAACATCAAGATGAAGTTAACCACTCTCGAAACCGAGCTGTCAGCTGCCCAACAATTGGCTACTACACGCTTCAAAGACATCACGGATCTACGCGAGACTCTTCAGAAACTCCAGCCAGAAGTGAAGAAGCTGCGTGCTGAATCTTCGGAGCTCAAGTCCGTCAAGGAGTCACTCGCAAGCAAGACGGGCGAATTGAGGACTCTGGAAGGCAAACACGATGACCTGCGGGCCGAACTGAAGACCCTCAAAACCACCATGTCTGACCGCGACAAGGAAGTGAAGACACTCAACCATAAGATCAAGCAGGAAAGCGACAGCAGACTTAAGGCCGAGGAGAAATTGACTGTTGCTCAGTCTGATTTGAGGTACTCAGAGAGCAAGAAGCAAGAAGCTTTGGAGGCCAAGGAAAAGCTGGCGTCGGACCTGTCCAAGGCTCAGGAGGAGCTGAAGACCGCCCGCGCCCGGCTCCGCGACGCCGAAAGTCAGGCTAGCCAACTCAACAAAGATCTCCAGGGCTTGCGGGAGGAAATACAACTTAAGACCGCCCAGCACGCCAGCGCCCAGAGTCTTATGAACAGTATGCGCGACCAAGCTGCCGAACTGGGCATGCAGATGAAGGAAGCTCGCGAACGTTGCGAGAGTCTTGAAGAAGAATTGGCGGATGCTCACCGGCTGCTGAGCGAACGCACTCGCGAAGGGGAAACCATGCGGCGCCTGCTGAACGACATCGAAAGTCGCGCCGATGCCAAGGTGCGTGATTTCAAAGAACGCATGGAAGCCGCTATCGAGGAGCGAGATCGCGCTGAGGACGAGGCTAGTGCTCAAGGTCGACGCCGGGCGCGTGAGCTGGAAGACTTGAAGAGTAAGTTACGCGAAGCTGAACGAGCTCTGCGCAGCGCAGAGCAGGATAAGGAGGAACTAGAGCAAACCCAGAAGGATTGGAAGCGTAGACGGGATCAGCTGGAGGCTGAATCGGAGAAGACGACCCAGGAACTTGTTGATTTGCGACAAGCGATGACAGGTCTGCGCGATTCTTTAGATGAGAGTGAGAAGCAAGTTCGCGACCTCGAGAAGGAGAAAGCTGAGCTGCGCCGCTCCGTTGAGGAAACGAACTCACGCTTGGAGAAGCTGCGCAAATCTAGCAAGCTGCTGCCGGATGAAAGTCGCTTCGGCCATACTTCACAGTCATCGCGGTCCTCGATCGATTCCGGCTCTCGAAGAACGATCGCTTCCCCAGTCGCGAAGGAACCTAGTCCGTCGACACGCAGCGGCACTCCCACCGGAGCTGGTGCAGGATCCATTGATTACATCTATCTGAAGAATGTCCTTCTCCAGTTCTTGGAGCAGAAGGATAAGAATTACCAGAAGCAGCTGATCCCCGTTCTTGGTATGCTGCTGCACTTTGACCGGTAAGTACTCATCCCTGTGTCCACGGATATCTAGATCTCAGCTAACCCAACCGCACACAGAACGGACGAGCAGAAGTGGATGTCGGCCATTACATCCAAATAATTGCTCTGGTAGCCTTCAAGCACATACTTGTTTGTAACCGTACATAGTCTCCAATATCCCTACCCCGAACACATGCACTTTGCTCCTATCATTTTCCTCTGTACATTCTTCTCCTATTTATTTTGAAATCGATCGTAAAAGCGCGTGGTGTCGGGTCTCTGAGTCACGCAGGACACCAAAAGTCAAAGCGAAGGCGCGCGAGGGTCCGCAAGGCGTGGTTTTCCAGCCATAGAGAGCCGGCCTCGATACGGTTTTGGTGGGGAAACGCCCCGTTGGGCTGGGCGGGTCTTTCGAGGTCGGGGAAGTCGAGACACAGGTATATAATAACGGGCGCTGCTCTATTAGGGCCTCATCCGTTTACTGAACCAGTGCCATCCATTATTGACGGATCTACTCATATTCTACAACACACATCATGTCTGGCCAACCCACAATCCGTCTCGCGACGCCTGAGGGCAAGTCTACCAAGACCCACACCGACCGTGTTCGATTATACGTGCATCCCCACTAACCGAACCAATGCAGACGTCCCCATCATTCTCCAGTTTATCCGGGAACTCGCAGACTACGAGAAAGCTCTCCACGAAGTCGAGGCAACCGAGGAGTCTCTCCTGGCGACTCTGTCATTTCCCGACTCGACCCCCAAGCGTGGCGCTGTCTACACGGCGCTCGTCATCCCTCCCGCGACCGCAGAAGAGCCCAGCCCGCGACCCGTGGGCATGGCCCTATTCTTCTACAACTACTCCACCTGGCGCTCCGCTCCGGGCATCTACCTGGAGGACTTATATGTGCAGCCTAGCGCGCGAGGCAACGGATACGGCTTCAAGCTACTCAAGTACCTGGCGGCCAAGGTTCTGGAAGTCAACGGCAGACGGCTCGAATGGAGCGTCTTGAAGTGGAATGAGCCCAGCATCAAGTTCTACGAGCAGGTGGGCGCCAAAGCGATGGATGAGTGGACGAAGATGATGATGGAAGGACCTGCTCTGAACAAGCTTGCTGAAGGAATCTGATTGCGCAATTGACTTCATTAAGCGTGAACCGAAGGTGGTCCTTAAAGCGGAGCAGGAAGGACTGGACTTCCATACGCCTTGGCGGTGGAATTTTTTTTTTTTTTTTTTTTTTTTTTTTTTGCAACGCTGAACATGTTTATAAGAACATCGAGATATCCCTCATTGAGACATATTTCTAGCGAGACCCGCGAGAAAATCGGTGCTTTTGACAAATGGACCCACATATTGTCCCTGGAATCGCAAATAGACACAGAGGACTACATGAGTAAGAGAGATTGAGATCATGCGACCGAGATAGATCTTAGAATTGGCGATCGGGACGATCACGACGGCAGATGAATGCATAGTGACGGAGGAGGAGAAAGGTCCAAGCTGCGCACCACACCGCCCAGGGCTAACCCTACAGACAGACAGACAAGCTTCGAAGGTGACGTCGTCATCGCGCGCGGGTCCAACACCCCCCCCTGATAAAAGCTTCAACAGCGAACATATCCTTCTTGCAAGAAGCTCACCACCATACCAAAGACGCACGGATGACCTGAACTCAGAATATTCTGTGACATGGCTTCCACAATCCCACGGGACCCCGTGCATAACAACCACTATGTTGACTACGTCATTCGCTACAACTTTGGCGAGACTGGTAAGTTGCGCTGTGCCTGGCAGGTTGCGACTAGGATTTTCTCGCCCTGACCCAAAGCAGACATCCCACAGACAACGGAGCAGCTGGAAAAATTGTTGCATAGGCTGTTCGAGGTCGGATTGCAGACTGAAGTGAGACAAGGCGACGAAACCTCACTGCTGGTTTTTGTCCGTGCCGCGCGAAAGAAGAGTCTCCAGCGCGCCGTGCATCAATCTCGGTAAGTCCCAATCGCCTGTCCCTTCCTCTATATATCACCCAGTGTCTGTCGCTTACTGTGGTGTTTTCGACGATGCTTTAGCATTCGCGACTGGCTCTATGGCGTCCGCAACACCGAGCCCGAGGCAGAATCCTCGGCCGAGCCGCAGTCCGAGTCGGAGCGGCTGCGCGTTATATACCATATGATGACGGTGCCCAAGGAGGCGGGTGGTGCTGGCATCACCCCCAAGCACGGCGAATGGAAGAACGTTGATTCGATCTTCCCCCTGCACGACGAGGAGATGAACAAGCAATGCATGAAAGACTGGAGCCAGAAGACGTTTCTATCGCCTCAGGACCTGGATCAGATCCGGAATATATTCGGAGAAAGTGTGAGTACATCTGAGGCCTTGGGGGCGTAGTCTTCGGGGGACTAACCGTGGCGTGGAAATCCAGGTCGGCTTTTACTTCTCGTTTCTCCAATCCTACTTCAAATTCCTCCTGTTTCCTGCGCTCTTCGGTTTTTCCTGTTGGCTCCTGATCGGGTCGTTCTCCATCGTCTATTCCGTGGCCAATTGCCTCTGGTGCATCATTTTTATCGAATACTGGAAACGACAGGAGGAGGATTTAAGTTGTCGCTGGCAGACGAAGGGGGTCTCTGCTGTCCGTGAGAAGCGCCGCGAGTTCAGGCCAGAGAAAGAGGTCCGCGATGAAAGTACGGGGGAGATCAAGGGTGTCTTTCCGGCGACAACGCGCATGTGCAGGCAGCTGCTCCAGGTCCCATTTGCCTTGCTGTCCACGATTGCTCTGGGGGTCATCATCGCAACATGTTTTGCCATCGAGATCTTCATCTCTGAGATCTATAACGGACCACTCAAGTCGTACTTGGTAGGCTTCTCCAGTCCCTACAATTTTATTCTTGTAAGAAGCTGACGGTTCAGGTTTTCATTCCCACCATCCTGCTCTCGGCCTTGATTCCGACAATGAGCACGGTCCTGGTGTCGGTCGCGACCAAGTTGAATGACTACGAGAACTACGAAACCCAACAGGCTTATGATGTTGCATTGACGCAGAAGATCTTTGTCATCAACTTCATTACATCCTACCTGCCTGTGTTCTTGACGGCTTTCGTCTATGTGCCTTTCGCTAGTCGGATTGTGCCCCACCTCGATGTCTGCCAAGTGACCGTCCGGCCGTTTGTCTCCAAAGAGGACGCTACGACGTCACGTACTAAATTCAGCGTGGACCCAGATCGTCTCCGCAAGCAAGTTATCTATTTCACTGTCACAGCCCAAGTAGTCGGGTTCGCCATGGAGACTATTGTGCCGTTCGTCAAGCAGCGTCTTCTACGAGAATATAAAGATTACCTCCGCAGGAAGAACGGTAAGATCGAGTCGGAGTCCAGTTCCGAAGAAGAGGAATCGCCCGATGCTTTGTTCGACGACCACCCCGACGAAACCAAGTTCCTTGTTCGCGTCCGCAATGAGGCGGACTTGTCTGACTATGATGTGACCGATGATTTGCGCGAGATGTGCATTCAGTTCGGCTATCTAGCGCTGTTCTCTCCCGTCTGGCCGCTAGTTCCTCTCTCTTTCTTGATCAACAACTGGGTTGAGTTGCGCTCCGATTTCTTCAAGATCTGCGTGGAGTGCAAGAGACCCTGGCCGCAACGCGCCGAGACCATCGGTCCCTGGCTGGACAGCCTTGGATTCTTGTCATGGGTCGGCAGTATCACAACGGCAGCTCTCGCGTACATGTTCAGCACCAGCCACAAGGGACCCAACGGCGAGCCGACCACAATCAAGGGATGGGCCTTGCTTCTGACAATATTCTTCTGCGAGCATATCTACCTGATTGTGCGCTATGTCGTACGAGCGGCCATGGCCAAGCTCGAGCCCCCGAATGTGCGAAAGGAGAAAACCGAGCGCTACCTCTTGCGCAAGAGGTATCTCGAGTCCACGGTTGGGGCCAGGACCAGCGACGATGAGATCGAGGTCGACGAGAAAGAAGACCAATCGGAGCAGCTCTCCCAGCTGACTCGGGATACCTTGGAGGACGACGCTCGCTCCTGGGCGACTCACGATACGGATCCCGCCGAGCGGTTTTGGATGCGACAAAAAGGGTGGAAAGAGTCTTCCCACGTGGGCGCGACGATCATCAAAACGCTTAAGAGCGATTCGAACGCGAAAAAGCAGCAATAAACGTCGCACCACTTTTCGCCGAGGGGGGCCTGAACTGTACTATGCTGGCTATGTTACCTGGTGGTTGTCAATTATGAAATAGCATGTTGATAGGCAAGATGATGGCCTGTTATCCCGTTGAAGTCCTGCTCTAACGAGCACCAGTCTATATTTCTGCAAGTTATCGATCGGGTCGCGGAAAATTTCACGATCAGTTGTGTTCTGTATATAGTTTGTATATGTTACATAGGAAGGTTCATAGGTGGTGTACAGCATTTATTTCCGTTATCTGTTCATGGTGGTACTAGTTGTAGGAGATTCCATGCCGAGTAAACAGCCGGTTCTATGCGTTGGCTGTCCATCTTATTGACTGCAGTAGCGATTGGGTTAGTGCTTTGATCCACAGCATCGGTGTTCTGACGCCGACACTCCGACGGAAGCGTCGGAGATACGGCATCAGGAGTGTAAAGCTAGACAGTGCCCATGGGAGGGACATAACGCCATCAAATCCGGGCATTACCATTGGTGCAAGATGGTTGCACCACTCTGTCATTGCCGGATGCATTGTGACAGTACAAGGCCACAATGCATGCTGCCTGGAAGGGGATCTGGTCGCCCCCGAAGCATGCCAATCGTGGATGAGTCAGCGCAGGCATGCCGGATCAGTCATCGACTTGGAAGGTGGTGGGCGGCTTTGTCAGCAATATTGGCGCGAAGGGGTGAGAGGGGCAAAAGCATAAGGACAGTTGCAGATACAATAGAGGCCGTTGAGATATTGTCAAATCAGTATAAATAGCAGGTTGGTTGTTTGGTAGTCATTTGTTTAAATAAAGTAGTTATTTTATTGATATTGATAACATTGTTGTTGGAACTTGTTGAGTAATCATGCCAAGAAAGAGGTGAATCATAGTGACTGCGAGTGCCGGAACATGGCTTGGACACCTGAGGCAGTGATTATTCACCGGATTCCAGCCATTCCCCCGTCCACTTCCACAAGTTCCCTACCAAAGTTCGTTCCTCTCCTTCGTTTCTGTCCAGTGTCCACACGTCACACTGTCTGACTGATACTTTAACTAATCGTCTTCCCCCCTCTCCCCTTCGCTCCCTCAACCTGCTTACGAGATCACTGGGCAGTCCTTCCCCCTTCCCTTTCCAAACGCCCCCCCCCCTCCCCAGATTTATTCATCGCCAATAATAGTCAGCATCTGAACCACCACCGAGTGACGGACATATTCGTACCGTATAGCGTTAGCTTCCACTTCCAGGAAAGCTATCTCCGACGTCGTCTGCTTACCTCATCGCCTCCCACTCCTCCGTTTCCCTTGTCATTCTCTACATCCTCTCTCCCTTCTTAAGATACCAGTACTTCTATACAGGCCGAGCTCTTCGACGGCCCCCTTGCCCAACTTGAATTGGCGATCCTTTGTTTTGTTTTGGCGCGTCTTCGTTGTTTTCGAAGTCTATACTCGCGATGCAGCCCACACTAGCCCCAGCGCCGCATCCAAGCATGCAAACCTCTGCTCAGGTAAGCAGCCTAATCGTGTCGCGGTTTGTCATCAGATCGCGTTGTCCCATCCACCCATGCCCCAGATCGTTCCCGAGTGATGTGCTGGTGGACATTGGACCTTGTTATGCCTGTTCTTACCGTCGCTTCGCGTCCTTTGGGCTCCACGATGGGGGTTACACCCAAGAGTTGACGCGACTGTCCTCAGCGCCTCACCGGTCGCGTCGCGACAGTTATCTGAATGATCAACAGTGGCGATGCTAACACTGATATGTCTCATAGGACCATGCAGACCAGGGTAAGCCATCAATAACCTGTCGACTATCGGAGGAAGGTCGATGCACTGGCCACGGCGATGAAGAATTTCTCGCGTAGCTGGAATTGACTCGACTGGCGCGTCTGTTGACGGCCGCTTCCTCCAACCAAGTCATCTACATCTGCGGAATCAGAATGCTAATTCTATATTTGTATCAGTATTGCATGACCAGCTGCTAGCTGCTCATCAACATATGTCTCATCCACAGCAACCGCGACCGCAACCGCCGACGGCACAGCCCGCGCACATGCAACCCAACAACACGAGTCCTCGCGATCAGAATAACATTGACCCTGCTATCTCGGGCGCCACAATGCTGAGTGGCCCCCCGCAAACACCCCCTCAACCGGAACCGACGAGCCAAGAATCCCCCAAGACTTATGGCAAGCGACCGTTGTCGACTTCGAAGCGTGCTGCCCAGAACCGTGCAGCTCAAGTTAGTGGGCCTCCATCGCTGGCAGATTAGTTGAAATTCTGAAAGACTGACTGTTGCAGAGAGCCTTCCGCCAACGAAAAGAGAGTTACATCCGCAAATTGGAAGAACAAGTGAAAGAATATGATGGCATGTCAGAGACACTGAAGGCCCTCCAGGCGGAGAATTACCAACTGCGAGAATACATCATCAACCTGCAGTCTCGGCTGTTGGATTCACAGGGCGAAGTCCCTGAGCTGCCTAGTAACATTGATCTGAGCCAGCCGCGTACAGAATTGTCTCTTTCGGGACCCGGTCCAGCATCTGCAGGGGCACCGGCCCAGGCTCCTCCAGGGCCTCCCCAGCAGCCCCAAGCGCCCAACCAAGCATCTGCCCCCAACGACGATATGAACTCGTTGAACCGCATCGCTGTTGCTGGCTTGGGTATGCGCAAACACCCGAACGAAGAAGCTAATTTCCTAGGGACCAGCTTTCAAGCTCGCCGCCCACGCGCTGACGAAGGTCAACCGGACGTTTCCGACGCTCCGAAGACGGAAGTCAGTCACGGTCTGCCGGTTGTTTCATGAGACATCGAACTATGCTGCTTCATTGATATTCTACTACCGTTGTCACTTCCTTTTTGCATCCGTTGATCTCTGAGTTTCCCCATTCCGACTGCTCTGGTCTGCAATTGTTCCTCCACCCCTCTTTGTATCCTCCCCGGTGTAAGGCGCGATGTATCTAGGTATTATCTCTGGTCCAGGAAGGAGCGGTGTTTTTGCGTTTGTTCAGATTCTCTTTCTACTTCTTCAATGCTTGAAACCTAGAAGGGAGGAAAATGATAACCATGCTAGCATGCCTTGCGTAATCCTTGAGTCCAGTCGCAGATCTAATCAACAGTATCCCGTCGATCTTCCATCAAGAAGTTTCTTGTTGATGCGCCTGCTAGTGTGTCTCCCTCGAATCGCTCTTGCTCAACTCAGGTTTTCTGCTATGGGCTGAGAATACGAGGGGCCAAGCGGCCTCGGAATAGCGACTTTCAGTAGTCTGAAGTTCTTCTGATTTTGGAATTGCGTTCACAACATAACGCGACCAATATGTTAAGGAATGACTTACCAACGATCTGAGACAGTTCCGAGACCGAAAGCATGAGACATACTCTTGCTTGCTTTTTTTTTTTTTTTTTGGTTAAGTTTTGTTGTTTCAACATACATGAGGTTTTCATTGGTTTGGAATTGATCTCTCCATGACAGTGACCGGGTTTGTTGAGTTTGCCTTACCCCTCAGTAGGTAGTGTTTACCTTATCTTTCTTCTCCCCTCACCACCCAATCCTCCAGCATCTTTCCCTCCGATCAAAAGTGCGGAGCTTCACGAATGAGAGGCTTGTGCCCTCAAAGGTCAGCTATAAGTCAGCTCCCTCTTGCGGTGCAGACGGGTTGATCGACAAGATGGCTGTCACTCCCCTCATCCAAACAGACGATGACCCTGCGGGTTACCGGCCACGGAGTTACCAAACGGAGATGTTCGAGGCCAGTTTGAAAGGCAACATCATAGTAACAGTGAGGTCAAATCTTCTCAGAGTCAACACGGCGGAAGACTAACATCCTGATTCATCGATCCCAGATGGGCACTGGCAGCGGGAAAACGCATATGTATGTGTTTTGTCTGTTACTCCGACCCCACTTAACTGTATGCTTGGAATTCTAAATCGTGATTTCAGAGCCCTGATGCGAATCAAGAGAGAGCTGGAAAGGAATCCACACAAGGTGAGAGAGAAGAATTAGAGTCCTACAGTTATGGTGAAATGTCTGGTTCATTCGGGTTTCTGACCTTCATCGTTCCTCGGGCGGAAAGTTGATCTGGTTCTTGACCCCCACTGTTGCGCTGTGTCAGCAGCAGTATCAAGCCATTTCAGCGCATATCCCCGCAATGAGAGCCAGGACCCTCACCGGGCTGGATAAAGTGGAGCTGTGGACCGACCAGGCTGTCTGGGACGTGGTGCTCCAGGACGTTCAGGTGGTCTTCTCGACGCATGCTGTGCTTGCGGATGCCATGAGCCATGGGTTCGTGAAGATCGGCCAACTGAGTTTGATGATCTTTGATGAAGGTAGGCGAATGACAAACTGTCTTCTTGTTGGTTGTAGAACTGGGCGAAAACTCCTGACTCCGAATCATATTAGCCCATCATTGCAGGAACCGCCACCCGGCCAATAAGATAATGCAGGATTTCTACCATCCCGCGGTCGCGAAGTATGGCCATAATGTAGTTCCCAAGATCCTGGGCCTGACGGCAAGTCCCATAGTCAGGTCTAGCCAGAAGGAGCTTCAGTGAGTTTGTTTCAATCTGGCTGTGGTATATCTTGTTCGTTTTGACCGATAGGGGTAGGAAGATTGAGGCAAACTTGGATGCGATCTGCAAGGCACCGCGCGTGCATCGGCACGAGCTTCGGAAGTTCACGCATTGTCCCCATCTGCAGCCCATGTTTTATACTCCCTTCGACCCTGCAGCAGAGCAGATCGGAAGCAGGACCTTGCGAGCCCTTGCCAGTGCCTGGGGGGCTCTTGATATCGAGACGGACCCGTATGTCAAGAAACTGCGGAGAGACCCCGTGGATGGAAGGACACTGCAGCAAGTACGCCTGTCTGGCAAAACTAATTGCCGAGAACAGCTGAGGAAGTTTGTGACTCGAAGTATGCACATCTTTGAGGAACTTGGAGAGTGGGCTGCTGATTACTATATCACCGCGTCGTTCGAACAACTGAGATCAAAGTCAAAGGATGCTTACTCAGTGACGGGATGGACAGATGAGAATAGGGCCTATCTCATCGAGTTTCTCTCGCAGCTCCCAGTCCCAAACGTCACATTCACTTCGTCCAACCCGGATGATTATCGAATATCGCGCAAGCTGAGTCTCTTAGTAGACTTCCTGCACGAAAGAGGGCATCCAGACTTTGCAGGTTTGGTCTTTGCCAAGCAGCGTGTGACAGTGAGCGTGCTGGCGCAACTACTGTCCGTCTATCCTCTGACAAGAGATCGCTTTCGCTGCGCTGCCTATGTTGGTTGGTCCAACGGTGGCAGTAAAGATGTCCTTGGCGAGCTTCTGGACCCTCAATTGCAGCGGGAAACGCTGAGTGATTTCAGAAGTGGACAGACCAATCTGATAGTTGCCACCGACGTGCTTGAAGAAGGTATTGATATCAGTGCGTGCAGCGTGGTGGTTTGCTATGACAAGCCCCCTAACTTGAAATCATTTGTCCAGCGTCGCGGGCGTGCACGGCATAAAGAGTCGACCTATGCTATCATGTTTGCCACTGATGATGAATCCGCTGGAACTGGCAAGTGGGAAACTTTGGAGCGAACTATGATCGAGGCTTATGAGGATGATGAACGGAAACTGCTCGAGGCGTGCGCCCTTGAGGAGATTGACGAAGAAGTCACGGAAAGGCTTGTCGTCGAGTCTACCGGGTATTTAGTAATGTGAGTCTTAGATCTTGCAAATGTCCAGCTAACGTTCTGTTTAGTGCCGTGCTTACAGCAGACGGCGCTGTTGCACATCTGACGCATTTTTGTGATATCCTGCCTTATCAGCCCTACGTCGACACTCGGGCCGAGTACTCTTTTGAAACCGACGATGCGGGACTCCTAAAAGGAACAATTATCCTTCCAGTGTGTGTCCATCCCAAAGTTCGTCGCACCGAGGGCAAGCGGTGGTGGAGAACTGAACGGGCCGCACGCAAAGAAGCAGCTTTTCAGGTGTACAAAACACTGTACGAGTTCGGACTTCTGAATGATAACCTTCTTCCGTTCACGGGCAAGGAAAACCTCAAGAAGACTAATTTCACTGATATGCCGGCTCTTTTGGAGGTCTCTGAGCAATATGATCCCTGGGTTGTTTGGGCATATTCATGGTCCTCGCCTGACCTTCATCAGACTCGAATCGCCGTGGGACGCAATGGTGAAGCCGCGCACATGTACGTGAAGCTGACCACACCGACAGTGCTGCCAACACTTGAAAAGATGACCTTGTTTTGGGACAGCGAGACGACCTACACGTTGGAGTTCGAGGCTCCTGCCAAGGCCGTAGGCGTGACACCTGCTGCCCTCGAGCATATGGGGTCGATCACCTCGCTTTTCCTTCAAGCAACTAGCTCGAAACCTACAATACCAGGCCAAGACTTTGTGATGCTATTTGGACCCGATGTGCTACACACAGACCTGGAAAGCTGGTTCGTTCAATATCGAGGCTCAGAGTCTGCTCGTGATGTCTATGCCAGCAACAATTACCCAGCTGTCATGGGCGTTGTGAGAGATCAATGCGGTAAGCCATGGCTCTTTCGAAGGTGGGTTATGTCTCAAGAGGATGACTTGGCTGTTGTCGAGGTCGAGTGTGATTCTATTCCTCGCCGGAAGAACCTCCTGCATCGCAATACGTTGGCTACTAAGATGAATGCCGATATGCCGATCACCTCTTCCAAGGTGTGCGTCATACCCGTTGACTCGTGCACTATCGACAAGCTCTCATTCACACAGAGCATTTTTGGCCTGTTCGTTTCTGCTATCATTGCTAGATTAGAAGCGAAGCTGCTTGCAATGAGATTGTGTCAGACCATCTTGCAAGACATTGCTTTCTCGAGCACTGACCATGTCATCACTGCTATCACCGCACCCTCAGCCCAATCGTTGACGAATTACCAGCGGTATGAATTCTTTGGCGACTCGGTACTGAAGTTCACCGTGTCATATCAGCTTTTCTTCGAACATCCAAACTGGCATGAGGGTTACTTATCAGAAGGACGGGACGCGATTATCAAAAACCATCGCCTCGCTCGAGCTGCGCTTGATGCCGGGCTGGACGCCTTCATCATCAACAAGGCGTTCACGCCGCGCAAGTGGAGTGCACCCCTTATCTCGGAGAAACTGGCGTATGCTGCTGGTCGGCGTACAATGTCAATGAAGGTGCTTGCTGATGTCGTTGAGGCCCTTATTGGTGCAGCCTACCTCGACGGAGGGTTTGAGAAGGCCCACGCCTGCATCCGACGCTTTCTCCCGGAAATCAACCTCAAGCATCTAGGTACCCAATCTGTGCCGCCCGCTGAACCACATACCCAGCACACCGTCAACGACGCGAAGCTTAAAGAGCGCATTGGCTACGCGTTCAAGGACCCTTCGCTCCTCGTCGAGGCCCTCACCCACCCCTCTTGCGGGCACGACGCTTCGACCCAATCCTACCAACGCCTCGAATTCCTCGGGGACGCCGTCCTGGATATGGTGATCCTCACAAGCATCCTCGCGCATCCTGTAGCGATCTCGCAGGGCGACATGACCCGCATCAAACATGCCGTCGTAAACGCCAACCTCCTCGCCTTCCTCTGCATGGAATTTTCCTTGCGCCAAGCGCGTACCCACATTGAAACCCACTCCGCAGACAACATCACCCTTACCTTCACCGAGGAAACCTTGTCCCTGTGGCACTTCATGCGCTACGGCGGCGGCACCGACCTCAAACACGCGCGTGACCAGGCGCTCGCCCGCCACCGCACCCTCCGCGACTCCATCCGCGCGGCCCTGCAGCATGACGCCCACTATCCATGGCAGGCGCTCTCCGAGCTCAACGCCGACAAGTTCTTCTCCGATCTTGTCGAGAGCGTCCTTGGCGCCATCTTCGTGGACTCCGGCGGCGACCTCGCTGAGTGCATCGGCTTCGCAGAGCGGATCGGCCTGCTCTGGTTTCTGCGTCGCGTGCTGGCTGACGGCGTGGACGTGATGCATCCCAAGGGCGTCGCGCAGCAGATGGCTGCCACGGCTGGGCTCGGGGGTACGGTGTTCACAACGCAGCGAGTCGTCTCAGATACTCCAGGGGGTGGCGATAGCGAGGACGCTACATATCGGTGCCAGGTCGAGGTAGCTGGCGAGGTGGTTGCGGTGGTCGCGGTGGTCGAGGGGTGTGCCTGTGCTGAGGAAGCGGAGGTGAAGGCGGCCTATCAGACGATTGAGGTACTGAAGCGTAGGGGATTGCAATAGGTGGGATGTTCTGCCGCCGATAGATCGGTGGTGGTCGGCCTGCTTGGATCTAAAACAATTTTTTGAAATCTGTGTTTGCTTGGAAATGCCAGACGGAGGGTTGATCTATCACTCGGCTCTGGCGATCTAAAATGATTTGGTTCTACATCACTTGGCTATATTGATCGGTCATATATGCCCACTCTAAAGATTACTCACACGGGCTTGGTTTTGTTCTCATTTGGGTTATTGGCGATTTAGTTGCAGAATGGAATACATTATGAGACAGACACTGAACCACATTTGGCACCTCAGATGGATTGATAGCGTTCTCGTGGACGACCTGCTTTCTTGGCCGCCCTTATATCCTTGACCGGCTTTGCCTAGACCTGTAGCGGACAGTAGTGGGATATGGACGAGCTGAAGACTACAAAACAATTGAAGAAGTAAAAATGATGTATTGTCCTAGACCTACCAAAGAAGCGAAAAGAAAAAAAAAAAAGGAAACAAAAGGACACAAAGTCCATATCAAGTCTACCACCGCACTCAACCCTTTCTCTTGCCCCCTTTTGCACGTCCCCGCGTCGTCTTGGGAACAGGCACCTCCCTCTCCTCTACTTCCTCCTCATCGGGCAATTGACCTTCCGCCTCATCACTACTACCCGAATCCACGTGCTCATCCTCGCTCGCAGCGACGATGACCCCGTCCTCCGACCGCTCACTAACAGAGGACTGCACCTCGGCGTCCGTGCTATCCGCAGCAGCAGCAACGAGAGGCGCATGCTCATTCCGGATACCAGCGAGCACCTTCTTCGCCTCGCTCTCCTGGCCATTCCAGGCGCCACAGCTGCCGCAGCGCCAGCGGCCCAGGTCCTCCAGGGACTTGACGCCCGGCGGCGCCTGCCCGTTGACCAGCCGGCAGGTCGCGCAGATCAGCACCATGCGGTTCTTCGGCTGCGTCTCGTCCTCGCCTAGCAGCACGTCCAGGAGCCGGTCGTACCAGTGCGAGGACTCGATGTACTGCGGTGGGGTGGTCGAGGGGAACGCATTTGGCGCGAATCCTGGCTCGTCCTCGTCGAACGATGGCGCCGGCGGGGGACCGTGGGGTGGTCCTCCCTGGTGGTGGGCTGGGATCATGAATGGGGAGGGGGAGGATGGGTGTTGCGGTGGTCCACTTGGGGTCATTGGACCACCATTGCCACCGGGGGATGGTTGTTGTTGTGGTGAGCGACGGATGTTGGCTGTTGGGGGTGGAGGCAGTCCCGTGCGTTGGACGGGTGGTTGTTGCTGTTGTTGGGGGGTACGTTTCTTGGCGGCGGTATCGGGTTTGTTGCGCTTGTCGTCGCTGGTTCGTGACTTGGTGCGCTTGAGGGTGCCGCCGCCGCCGTATTTCTCTAGGAGTTGTTGAGTGGAGTTGTAGCGTGTGGCTTCTTTCAGTTTCTCGATCGTGGTCTCGCGTTGTTTGTGCAGCGTGTCCAGGTGGGATTGCGTTTTGCTGATGCGGTAGTCATAGTAGCGCGAGGCGCTGGCGCGGACGGTGTAGATCCTGTGAATTGGGGAGAGGGTGGTGTTAGATTTGTGTTGGATTATGAGGGCAAGGGGGCGCGGGGGAGAGGTGCATACAGGATAGGCCCGCCCACGATCGCGGCGTATTCAGCTATACCCCAGTTCTGCCATCCTAGTACCAGAGCTAAGATGATCGAGTAGAGGAGGTAGGCGAAGGTGGTGTAGAGGGTCCAGAGCGCTTTGAAGCGGCGGGCGTGTTGTCGGTGCAGGTCCAACCGGGCGGTCGTTTGCGTGATCTTCTCGGATAGGGCCGACAGCGCTTTCTCGAAGGAGGCCGGAGAGTCATCTTCCGCCTGGGACACAAGTCAGTGAGAGTCGGTCACTGGGTTGCGACAGCGGGCGGAACTTACCTTGAAAGGCCACAGGCGCACCATGGCGGAGATGTTGGTAGCAAGGTTAAGTTGATTGGATCAGATAATGAGCAGGGGGGGATGAATGCTAAGACAAGAGCATATTTCTTAGAGGGGAAATCATGGTAGGTCCCCTTCTTTGAGGGGGAAGCTAGAGAGCAAGGAAAGCGAGAGAGAGTGAGTGAGCAATAGAAGCGAGTGACTGACTGACTGAATGAATGGAGAGAGAAACTGAGATCATGGTGATTATTGAATGCCCAGCAAACGAACGACGTCAACGTCAGCTGCACCCGCACAGACCACCTTGCCTGTTACGGACTAGAGCTTTCCCCTCTTCTCTCTTCGCTTGTCTTCTCTTCCGTTCCTCTTCTCCGTTAGTTCACTACTAACTACTATTGAACTATTAAACTTATACTAATCCACGTTGATTAAGTGGTGTATATAACTAAGCTTCTTTCTTTGTTGTTCCTGTTGCTCGCCCTTCTATACACTATTGGCCCTGGCATTCTGATGCGACTGCTTCTAAATCTCGCGGACTTGACTGATCATCGTGCCACAGGCATGTCGATGATGGCCTCGATCGGTCGTCTAAACACCAGAATGCCCCGGGCGAATTTCAATTGTCAGCATCCCTGCGAGGTGATCCTGATCTTAGAATCTGGATAATACATGAAATACATGCCTCTTGGCCTCATTTTTCACATCTCCAGGATGCCCTGGCTTGTTGAATCTGATTGATCTACCACTGCGATTGAGGCCTGAAGTATGCCTAGACAAGTGCAGCTCGTTGGACCACTAACGTCAACTTACCGAAATTCATCTCCTGCTTAAACCTTTTCGCATAGAGAGGTCTACACACTCACGCAAATCCGAGGGAAGACCCAATGATAAGAGCGCTACTGCTTGTACTACAGACAATAGCAAGCAAGCTCAATCCTGGAGGACGAAGCTCGAGTCCATGGCTGACAGCAGTGCTAGCTACTTTCGACCCCGACAGCCTGACAGAGAATCCGGCATCGATCAGCAGGGGTTTACGCAGGGATCGACCGGGGCAAGGCTCTAGTCTCCGACACTGTCGGCAGCGCCCCCTAATCGCCGCTCGCATAGCTATCGATGACGGCCCTCATCAATGACAGGTCTACCTTGGCGGAAACCCTATAGCGCTTCTCTTTGTCTGAAGTCTGGCGCATCATGAGCTCGACCATACGGGCGGTTCCAGACTCGCGCGACAGCCGAGGTTTACCATGGTATGAGACGACAATAAGCTCTGGCCAACTAGAGCACTACAGAGTACGAAGGAGGCCGCAAGGGAGACTTTTCGTTCCAGACCATTTTCTCAAGTGCTTTGGCATCAGATCCCTGTACAGACAAGTATCTAAGCCAATATAGTCCTTGCTGATCTGGTTTCTATAGCCAAAAGCCCCATGTCGATGCGAAACCACCTTACTTTATGCTTGCACAACCTGTCCTTCGGATGGCTTGAACCAACCACAGGCACAATTGTACGCCCGACAGCATCCCTAAAGTATAAGTGGCCAATCTGTCTCGGTCGGAAATGGACAGGCTGCATGTGTTGGGTGGATGGTAAACCTACCATAATTCGGATAAAGGAGGCATTCAGCCATCGCTACCGACAAGCATGACAGCTACCCTTGTCAAAAGCATAAAAACCATGGTACGAGGGAGATCGGCCCGTAGTTCAAGTGCTCGATATATCGGATGCTCTCGATGCGCCTCCATGGAGATCTCAGCAGGTTATAATGCTATTAGTTCAGGACGTTCATCATGCGCGGTAGCGCCTGAGCATATGGCTATAGTTTCTGTTGATTGCTGAATTCTTTGTTTAGAAATACATTGCGCCTGAACACGCCTTATTTGTGACTATAATATCACACATCCCTGTTAGATGCGCGACCTATCCTACCGGCCTTCTCCTTCATACCATGTTCGAGAACATGATTTCACATATTACCGAACTCCACCAAAGCAATCATGGGCGGCACAATCCAGCTGATAGGCACCGTGTCTCTTCCGTATACCTTCTTGATTGCATGCTTATTAGCCGTCGCTGCATTCGGATCTATCGAGCTACTCCTTCTCATCTTTGACTTCTTCAAACGTCGCAGAGGGTTATATTTTTGGAGCTTGTTCTTATCCACAATGGCTACCCTTATTTTCACAATTGTCATCATACTTCTATGGTTCGCTGTCCCACAAGCGCGCTTCCCTCTGGTCTTCGTTATAGTAATCGTCTATCCCACCCTCAATGTCGGCAACACCTTGGTCATTTACTCGCGACTTCACCTTGTTACTAGTGGCCGCAAGATTCGATGGGTATTGTGGATGATCATCATCATGTCGGTCGTCTTTCTTCTTCCACAAGCCATTATCGTCATAATCTCTGCCTCTCCAAGCGGCGACGGCATGAGGAAAGTATACAGAATCTGTGAGAAGCTTTCCGTGACCGCCACCTGCATACGAGAGCTGATCGTGGGAGGCATCTTCGTCTTCGCGGCCGCTCGCAACCTGAAGCCCCTGATTGTGATCAAGGGCCGCGAAGGCCGGAAAATGGTCTTCTACTTGATCTTCGCGACCAGCATGATGGTTGTCACCGACGTCATCATCGTGGCCGTTGTCCTCTCCGGCCAACTCTTCATCATCTCTGCTCTCACCGCTTTCTTCTCCGTCCTTAAACTGAAGCTGGAATTCTTCAGTTTGGGGAAATTGATCCGTCTGATCCAAAGCGCGCCAGGCGTCTGCCACCACACCGCAACCGAGGACGGAACTCCACACTTCCGCCGAACTCCTGACATCGACAACCTGTCGCTCAGCCCGGAGGCTACCCGCAGTTGCGGTGCACCGTCCGGCCAGCAGCCGAGCATGCAGGAGACGAGTGTTGATCACCAACAAGTCGTCGCTGTCAGCCCCAACAAATCTCCAGAGGCACCGTCCTCTCCCCGAACCAATGAGTCGATGGCGACCGCCTCCCGCACGTTGTCAACAGACCCTCTCGTCCACGGACGACAAGACCTGGAGGCGCTTGAGCCTCAGCTCAGCGCCCGAGACCATTTCCCGCCGCGCACATGGAGCAGCCCAGTATAAGGCCTCACCCATAATCCATCCATCCATGATCCCTCCTTCGTGTCTTACCTCTCTTCCTTCTTCAAACCACGATTTGTCCAAATCCTTCATCTCGTACTGATTTGCCGGCCTCACCTTCTTATTCTCTAGCTACGATGATAGATAATACCCCTTGGACTATCTGACCCCCCCCCTTCCCCTCCTTCCCCCCGGTCATGTATCATGTAACCAAGGCACTGGATGATTGTCTTCTATTTTCTTGTATGCTGTAGCTTTATATAGACATCCTTTGATGAGACATAGACCTACCCCACGGGCAGACATATATCATCCCATAACTAGATCACCCTATCTCACGAGACATGTGTAATGGATGGAATGGAAATGTGGTGAGAATGACAACCAACTGCCGAGCTGACATGCACTAGTCGCGCCAGCCATCAGTCCCACCCTTATCTCAACCCCAGGCTATCACTAAATGCAGCTAATTACCGACGACATTTACAATGGAGACAATGAATACATTAAGTCTAAGTCAAGACCACAGGTCCGACATCATCATATTCTGTCCTCTCGACCTGCAAGCCAAGTCCGCACAACAGTGTGTCCGGCACTCGTAAAAAGAACTCTAGTAAGACACATGACAAGAAAAATAAACAACAACAGGATGGTTGTTTATCGCGGCAGTGCAATTGAATGCTTTCCTGGCCCGTGCAAGTAAAGAAAACCGCAAGAATAAGCATGGATGTAGCAGAGGACCAAGAATAAGAAACAAGCCCAGGCAATTGTTGTGAAAACGAAAAACGATAGGCCCAGTCCAAACTAGTGGGGTATCCATGAAAATATATGGTTTGAGTGACGATAACAGAAGAACAAAGAAATAAGAGAAGACCATTGGCAGTAAGTAGTAGATGAACCACAAAATAGAAAACTGCAACGAGTTTTCATCATGGTGGCCTGAATGTTGAAATTTCCCAAAATTTGTAAAACAGAAAATACGAAGATCACATGCTTGTGGGAAGAAGGAGGGGGGG